GCCTGAAAAATCACCAACAATAAAAAAGGTTAAATGTACTCTCTTCAGTAACAATGAAACCCAGGTAACCACAGCTAAACAAAAAAGCGTAATTGCTAAACACAAATTAATGTTCAAGCAGAAAAATAAAATAATCTCCAGATTAAAGCAACAAGTCAAATTATTAAAAGATGGAAATAAAAAAAAGACCTGCGTTGAGGATGCAACTTTCACTTCAAAATATTCGGAAGCCTTAGTTAACATGCAAGTTTGCCATAAATCAGGCCAGGTCTGGACAAAAACGGAAAGGGATTTCAGCTTGCTGTCATTTTATAAATCCCCAGGAGTGTACAAATATTGGCGAAATACTCTGAAAATTGTGATGCCTGGATTGTCAACAATTCACAGATAGGTAGGAGATATTGAATGCTTGCCTGGGTTCAACCGAACAATTTTAAATGAGATAAAAAACAAAGCCGCTACAATGGAGGAGTCAGAGAGATATTGCACCTTAATATTTGATGAAATAACGATTAAGCAGTTTTTGGAGTACTCGCGCAAACATGATCGAATTGAAGGCTTTCATGATCATGGCGAGCAGTTCAGAAAAAATCAATTTGGTTGACAAATAATGTTATTTTTGATACGCGGTGTATATGCTAATTGGAAGCTCCCATTTGCATATTTTATATCTGATACCACCATGAAAAATGTGGACCTCAAAAAAGCTCTAGGCGAGGCGCTTAAATTACTCCTGGATGCAGGATTGAAGATTATCAGTACCGTTTGTGACCAGGGAAAAAACAACCAATCAGCTTTAAGTATGTTTGGAGTAAACAAAAATTGTCCATATTTTGAAGTTGACAATCATCGTATCTATCATATTTATGATGTCCTTCATTTGGTTAAGAACTTCAGAAACAACTTACTGAAAAATAGATTTTTGTACAAAAACGAGTTTGTCAACTTCAGAGATATCATAGAAGCATACAGAATTGACCAAAGCAGTACAACTTGCCGAAGTATGCCAAAACTCTCTGATTCCCATATAGAACCAGATAATTTTGAAAAAATGAATTGTAGATTGGCAACTCAAATTTTTAGTAATTCTGTGGCAGCTGGAATAAGAACTGCAGTCAGTACAGGAGAGTTAACTTCGTCTAGCGCCCTGCAGACAGCAAATTTTGTTAGTTTTATGAATAATCTGTTTGATTGCCTTAACAGCAAGCAGTTGTACAGTGCCAATCCGTATGCTTGCGCAGTCTCATCAGATAGGCCAGTAGTACAAAAAACCATTGAAGAAGCTATTAACATCATTGAGACAATGCAGAAAGAGATGGCTCCAGGAAGGTACACAAGACCGGATTGTTTTGATGGTATGGTTCACACGCTTCGAGCAGTACTCGGAATTTACCACTCTCAGAAGGAGTTAGGATTCCGCTTTCTCTTAACCAACAGACTAAATCAAGATCCCATTGAAATAGTATATTACATTACGAGTGTAGAAAGTGACACATTTCACACGAGTGCATGAAAGACGCTTTCTCACAAGTGACGTACACCATTTTTCCTACGACCAGTAACCGATTTACATTAATTTTCTCTTATTTTATTTCTTTTCATTTTCAATCCACGTATTGAAAGTAAATTGTGATGCCAATCACAAATAATGTCAACAGTATTTTCCACACGTGTGCTGAAAGTACTTTTAGCACGCGTATTGAAAGTACTTTCAGCACGCGTGTGATATTTAGCGCTTTCTAAAGAACCAGCTAGTGCGGATTTTGTCATTTTCGTATGTGGTCGTAGGAAAATAAATTTGCATCATTCAGGCAGCAAGGGGGATTCAATATGAATCCAACAGTCCGAACTTTCAGGACAACGTTTCGGCTATCATTGAAGGTGAACCTTTTGAAACCCACTAAATTTTCAAACTGCGAGGAAGTGAAGATATATCTGTGATATTACATCCGCCAGAAATATCCAGAATTGAACAACTACCATCAACTTCAAGTACAGGCGAGACTATAGCTGCTTCATCAACATTAAGTACCTCGACGAGTAGCAAAACAAGCAACAGCTGCAGCGAACGTAAACGGAGAAAATATGTCACTTTGCAAGAATGTTCGAACACATATTTTGCAGGTTATTTGATTAAAAAAACCATTGAAAAATACAATTGTGATATTTGTAAAAATCATTTAGTCAGTGAACCTTTGACCAATACCGATGGAAGCCAATTATTAATAATGAACAGGACTTACAAAAATGTTTCATTAGGTCTACGGCGGCCTCAACAACGCATAATTAACCTTGTCAGGCAAAGTTTATTAATAATTGCCAGGATATTGAAAAAGTGTCCTCAAAAAACTTCTATAGGGAGATACTTGAAAGAAAAAATCCAAAAATTAAGAGCAAAAATGCAGGTATTTGAAGCTGATTCCTGTAAAATTCATTGTGATTTTTTTATTGATTTAATGATTCGATGTAAAATAAACAAAGAGTGCAAATGGCGAACCTTGTCCTGTAAAAAAAAATGTAAAAAGAAAAGGAAGCTCGATATTATACAAAATCTGTAAATTATAACCTACACAATTTGTGCTTGCCTTCTTTTCTTTGAAGCTGTATTGTGAATTATCCTATAATATATGATTTCTATTTGTTATTTGATTTTATTTATTTTACCTATACCACTTAGATTTTTTTGATAAGATTAAAGACGTACGCCTAGAAGAAAGTTAATTTTCCAAATATTTCCAATTTTTCATTCCTTCTTAGCCTCTTTACTCCTCCTTCCAATTTCTTTCAAGACAATAAATAATTATAAAATAAAAAATTTCATTATCCTCACGCAAAATTTTGCGCCCAAGAACAACAAATATAACGGAACTGCCCTCGTAAATTTGAATCTTAGAAGTGCGACCTTGGGCGACGGCAAAGCGACGCGACGGTGGCCGAAATCTTTGATTTTAGTTATAGAACAGCCGTGAGCGACATCTAGTATTTTTAGCGCAAGCTAGAATCTTTTCAGATTTTCAGAGATGGTGCTGTAAATAATGGGTGCCACGATCGCCCATAAGCGGTGAATATCTATAGCCTGTATAATCTTTGCCCATTGACATTAGTATACTGTCAAATTTTCAAAAATTTTCTGCAAACAGTTTTTCATATATAGATCGGTTTGGTTTCCGGTGGGATACCCTGTATAGAAAAATTATTTCATTAAGTTATTATTCCCGGCTCTTGGGTTTCAATTAAAAGCCAGGAATAATCAAAAATTGATTCTGACAAATGAAACTTATTGACCAATTAATTAAGTTGGGCGCCATTTTGAGACTCCCATCTACATACGCCCAGTGAATACTAATGTAACAAAATGGCGTATTTACATGTTTTAGCCAATGACATGATAGACGGAACAATAAACAAAATTTCCGTATGACAACATCTCTCTGTCTCTTTTGGGCCTTTGTGCTAGCCCCACCACTGAAAATGCCAAATTTTGTCTTGAATTCCTAAATAATATATTTTCCTCCTTTTCTAATTAATGTTTCCAATTTTATTTCTGAACTTCATTTGACAACAGCGGATTGTAGCAAAACACCGCCCAGAAGCGGCTTGTTCCAACTCACCTCCCCTGGCCCATGGGTGGTGGTCTTGTCAACACAACAAATATCAATTTATGAATGGGATGATCCGTCTATCTGTGTTTTAATGTTATTGGTTTTAGCAGTATCTTTTCATAGAGCTTAGATAAAACTGGCAACAATGATATTGACCCATAAAATGACACATCATAGGGTGGTTTTTTAGGTTTTGGCTGCCCAAACAGTTTTGGATTTATTTTTACAAAACACCCTGTATATGGAAAAATTAGAAATTTGGCAACAACGAAAATATATTTTCAATAACCTTCGAAAATTGCAACTTTTTCTTAATTTAACCAGCGTCCTCATATCTCTTATCTTACCTTTTCCGATATACACTTGGCCCAAACATAAAACTGGTACCAGCAACATATTTTTTAAATTTGTCTAGTGTGAGTCAGGCTTAACAACAAAAAAATCTCTTCTGAAAAACTTACATAATTAGGCAATTCAATCCATCTGTCAAAATGGAAAATTCAATATGGCGTGGCGGCCAAGCAATTTTGTTTTGAATATGTTTTTATGCGTATTTTAAATTATTTTGCTTGGAGTTTTGCTTGCAACCTTGATTTTGATTATTTAATAAAATATCTGTTGACTATGTACCGAAACTATTAAATCAGACGGAAACTAGATAATTTTTTGTGTTTTTTAGTCCATGTATGGCCGCCACGCCATCTTGAATGTCACGTGGTTTGAATTGCCTAATAGGGACAGACAGTTTTTGTCAACATCAAAGCTGAACAAAAGTAAATACAACATGTTTTTATGTTATGATTGGTTTAAATAAGACACTGACTCGACTCTTTTTGTCATTGATGAAGTGATATAAAAAGATTGATTTACATAATACAACACAATAGTAAAATGCGTAGGTACCAGTTTTATGATTGGCCAAGTGTACCTATCAATAGTGGCCCATAGTATTTTAGATACTTTATACATATAACGCTTTTCACACGTTGGAACGTTATAAAAAATATCAGAAATCACCCAAACGAAACGTTGCTTTATACAGGTTTAAAAATGCTTTAAAGCGTTCTAATTTAGTGTTAAAATAAAGGTTTCGAAGTATTATGTAACAATTTTAAGGTTGTTCTGAAGGTTCTCCACTAGTTCTAGAGTAGTTCCGAAAGTTCCAAATTATTTGTTAAGTACATATTCTCGACCATTTTCAAATGTTTTACAAAACTTGTTCTGGAGTATTTTTCAATTTTTACGAAAGTTTAGCATTGCAAAATCAACCACTCTACATTATTTTTTGTAACTTTGATCCCTACTGTTGTCTTCCTAATTGTTGCCTTCTTTTTAATCAAAGATAATCATAACAGTGACCAAAAACACTGGCTCTAAAAATAAAAATAAAACACTTACTGGAATAACGCATTGCTCTGAGCGGACATCTGATAAACCGGATCATAAGGACCAATCCTCAACTCCAGAGTGACATCGTAGGGCGGGTTACTTTCGCCCACCGCTTTGCCCAGCGAGAAAAACACCAGCGGGAACCAAATTATACCAACAATACCAACCAACAATCCACCACCCATTAGGTATTTTACCATGTAACCCTTTTTGGTACCTCTCGGTTGCGGATACTCATCTTCCATGTTTCTAGAACACTAATAAAACAAAATAATATTGAATTTGGAATTTTAAAAACAAATAAATTTCAACTTTGTTATACATATAGATAAAATCAACTAAAAAGAACAATCATTGACAAAGAAGGCAAATTTCCTTTTCTCTAGAATCCTCCCATTTTTAAGTGAGACAAACAATAATGTTTCTTAGCTGATTTTATAAATATACCTTAAGTGCAAATATATGAGAAAATATATCCTCCATTTTCAACCAATCAAAAACGCCCATCGATGTTTCGGTCCACATCCAATCCATCACCGCTCTGAGTTCGAAAAGGAACGGTACCAACATAAATCCTTTGAACAAAAACATGTTCACCATGCTGTAGCCTTTGCAAAGGCAATTGCCCAAAATTCTCGAAGGATATCCGCAACGGATTTGATAAGCGGACAAAAGGAAGTAAATGCATTTTACGATGTAGTAAACTTGTGGCGGAATTACTGTTTTGAATTCCCTATAATAAGAATAATAGGTTTGTTTTTACTTAGTAACAGTAAGAAATATTTTTACTTACTTTTCTGTAATAACAGGGAATAAAACGAAAAGCCAAATATGTAAGACAATGATTTCAATAAACTGGAAAATCAATTTCCCTAAAATGTTACGCCTCAAATAAATAGCTCTGTCAATTATAATCAATGTAAATTGTAAAATCAGCATGAACAAAAACATAGGGGGCACTCGGTTTTCTTCCAAGTAGGCCTTAAATCCTCCATCGCTGGTTTGAGACTGGAAATTTTTTAAATTTAAAAATCATTTTCTTGTCTGAAATAAACAAATTACTTACCCCAAATGAGGAATATCCAATAAGAAGGACGAAAAAGTTGATAAAGTCGCACAAAAACATGAAAGTGTAGACGTCGGCGGCCACCCTGGCAGTGGGGTCCAGAAGATGTTGGAAAAAGATTCGTATAGATTCAGCGTATTTGGTAGCACTAAAATATAAAAGTTAACACTGAATTTTGCACAATATGGCAACACTGTGATATGTTTCCGGAAGTTTTCAGTATTTTTTTTTTTTAAATAAACTGAAAATTTAAGAAGTAAAATCTTTTGAATATACTGGAATTCTAAATTAGTTTCAAATTGGTTTAAATTGTGCACTGCACTTTTTGTTCTATTCTATTTGCTCTACACTTTCTGAACTGCATTTTTTGTACTACACTTTCTGTTCTGTCTTATCTACACTGTACTTTTAGCTCTGTAGTTTCGTTTGCAGATTCACAAATTCTAGAACAAGCACAGTTTCCATTTTGAAAATGTAGTGCAAATCTCACGTGTCAACTTAATCTAAATCCAACGTTGCCACTAATACAATTCTTACCCCAACTTCAACGACTCCGGAATGTGATCGCAATGGTTGACTTGGACACTTTGCACTGACAAAATTTGTTCGGAATCGTCTTCAGGCTGAGCACCATCACCTTGACCTTCTTCAGATGCGACACTTTTCCTTCTACAATATAATTTCAATTATTTGAAAATAGATGGCGCTTATTTTACCTAGTAGAATTGCTACTGCCATTGGCTTCAACTGGTATCAATTGGCCATCAACTAGGCGATATTCGCCCTCTGGAATTGACATTGCTGCTATTTGAATACTGGTTTCGCTTGTAGATTTCCATATACCCATCGATTTTAACATCATCCTAAACAGATTATTTTTTGTGGAAGAAAGACAAGGATAAATATACAATTACCTGTGGAAGAAGACGGCTAAAAGTAGTACCAAATCCCAGTTGGCGTAGTTTTTCTGGCGCTGTATACCCATTATGTTTGCTGGGAAAAATGGATTGTTGACGTATATGTCTTCGTTCCACGGTATAATGTCCATTTGGAATAGGCATTTTATTAGTACTACAAGCTGAAATCGAAAATAAAATTTGACAACACTGTATAGTCAAATAGACAGATGTTTTTTTACCTCAGTGTAAGCGATAATAGTGACCCAAAAAGTCTTAGAAGGTCTCGGTATAGTCAAAGAGCCCCAAAAAAAGACCATCAAAGGTAGGGGCAGAGACAAAAAGGTGGCGGTTTTGGCTTGATTCAGAAATATTGCAAAGTAACAGAGCCATTCTGAGCGGCTCATAACGACGTACCAAATGGCCAGTAAAAGTCTTACTATAGGTGGCTGATCATCTGAAGACATTTCTTCACCAAAATCTTCCTTTTCTGAGCTTGAAGTTCTCCTAAAAAAAATTTAAAATGAAACATTTTGTATTTTTCCTTAAAATTTGAAAACATCAAAAAAGTGCTAAATTGACATATCAACATGTGCAAGAAAGATTTTTATTTATACAAAAATTGTGTGACTATACAATATACATATAAATTTAAAGTGGGCGCAACATGCATACAAAAGCGAAACTTGTTTTGGGTTCTGGTGCCATTTTTACCTCGATGAACACGGCGAATCGAGTCCCCTTTCCAAACTGGGCGCCATTATTCGAATTTCCGGTACCGTTAGTATGCTCGCCTTGCGCCTACGCAGCCAAACATACACAAAGCATACCACTAAGTACTAAGTACTACTTTAAATTTAAACTAAGTACTATTTAAAACAAATAATGTATTATATAAATTGGGAGTTTTTTTTCTATTGAAACTAAGTGTAGTCTTGTCCAGATTAAGTTGCATTTAGATGTGGATTGATCCTTTAATTGAAATTTAATTTTGGAAACTCCTATAGGTATTAAGTATAGGTAACAGGGGTTGATCAATAAGTACAAAAAAGAATTTGGTACCTCTTTTATCTCTAAAAGGTATTTGTGTATTGACCCCTGTGAGTATCCATTATGCAATATTGCCAAATTGTGCACAAATGTCGTTCAATAAAATATTTTACAGGGTTTGTCTCAAAAAAGAGATAATGAAAAGTCAATATACTTCTTTAACTGTATGAGAGTGATTTTTCACGGCCGCGTCACGTCAATGTTTATAAATTTTCTGTCTCGCAAGAGAGATGGAGTATATATAACTATTATGAGAAAGATAGAGAGAGAATGGAATAATGAATTGATTTTTTTTCTCAATTTTTGTCTATTCCTGGCTCTTAAATTTTTGTTTTCTCTCAAGAAGAGATTCCAAAAAATAGAGCAAATTAATATGAGAGCCTGCAATTTATCCATTCTTGTTCAACAATTTTTCTTACTGTTTTCAATTTCCAGGATTTTTATTATTCATAAAAAAAAATCCTATGGTAGTACTCCTCGGCTGAAAAGATGTTTTGTCTTTGTCGCTCTCATTTCAAATCGCACAAGTGCGAAAAAGACAAAATATTTTATCCGTGACGGAGTGCTATCAACTAATTAAAAAATGTTATCCTGAGTTATAACGCTACGTAGAAAGGAAATGTAATACAGGGTGTCCGGAGAGAGATAAAAAATATATAACGGTTATATGAAAAAGAGAAACAGGTATAATGAAGAATTGATTTTTTTTTCATTCATTTCTCCTCAATTTTCTTTCCATTTTCCAATTTTCAGGATTTTGGTTATTCATAAAAAAAATTCTATGGTAGTACTCCTCGGCTGGAAAGATGATTTGTCTTTGTCGCTCTCATTTCAAATCGCACAACGATAAAGAAAAAACATCTTATCAGTCACGGAGTGCTATCAACTAATTAAAAAATGTAACCCTGAGTTATAACGCTACGTAAAATGGAGATGTAATACAAAGTGTCCGTAAAGAGATAAAATATATGACAGTTATTTATATAGGAAAGAGAAAGAGGATTTTTTTTTTTTCATTTATTTTTCCTCAATTTTTTTCCCTTTTTCCAATTTTTTGGACTTTTGTTATTCATAAAAAAAAATCACATGGTAGTACCTACTTGGCTGAAAAGATGTTTTGTCTTTGTCGCTCTCATTTCAAATCGCACAAGTGCGATAAAGACAAAACATCTTATGGGTCACGGAGTGCTATAAACTAATTGAAAAAAATAACTCTATAACGCTACGTGAAATGGAAATGTAATACAGGGTGTCCGAAGAGAGATAAAATATGTCAATTATATGAGAAAAAGAAAGAAGGATAATAAAGAATTGATTTTTTTTTTTCATTTATTTTTCCTCAATTTTCTTTCCATTTTCCAATTTTCAGGATTTTGGTTCTTCATAAAAAAAATCCTATGGTAGTACTCCTCGGCAGAAAAGATGTTTTGTCTTTGTCGCTCTCATTTCAAATCGCACAAGTGCAACAAAGACAAAACATCTGATCTGCCACGGAGTGTTACCAACTAATTGAAAAATGTTATCCTGAATTATAACGCTACGTAAAATAGAGATTTAATACAAGGTGTCCGGAGAGAGATAAAATATATGACGGTTATATGGGAAAGAGAATGAGGAAAACAATTTTCTTTCCATTTTTCAATTTTCGGGATTTTTATTATTCATAAAAAAAATCCTATGGTAGTACTCCTAAGCTGAAAAGATGTTTTGTCTTTGTCGCTCTCATTTCAAATCGCACAAGTGCGATAAAGACAAAACATCTTATCGATTACGAAGTGCTATCAACTAATTGAAAAATATAACGCTACGTAAAATGGAGATGTTATACAGGGTTTCCGGAGAGAGATAAGAGATAAAATATAATATGTTGGTTACATGGGAAAGAGAAAGAGGGATAATAAAGAATTGATTTTTTTTGTTCATCCATTTTTTTTCAATTTTCTTCGCATTTATCAATTTTCAGGATTTTTGTTATTCATAAAAAAAAATCCTATGGTAGTACTCCTCGGCTAAAAAGATGTTTTGTCTTTGTCGCTCTCATTTCAAATCGAACAAGTGCGATAAAGACAAAACATCTTATCAGTCACGGAGTGCTATCAACTAATTGAAAAATGTAACTCTGAGTTATAACGCTGCGCAAAATGGAGATGTAATACAGGGTGTCCGGAGAGAGATAAAATTTATGACGGTTATATGGAAAAGAGAAAGAGGGATAATAAAGAATTGATTTATTTATTTTTATTCATTTTTCTTCAATTTCCTTTCCATTTTCCAATTTTCAGGATTTTTGTTATTCATAAAAAAAAATCCTATGGTAGTACTCCTCGGCTAAAAAGATGTTTTGTCTTTGTCGCTCTCATTTCAAATCGAACAAGTGCGATATAGACAAAACATCTTATCAGTCACGGAGTGCTATCAACTAATTGAAAAATGTAACTCTGAGTTATAACGCTACGCAAAATGGAGATGTAATACAGGGTGTCCGGAGAGAGATAAAATTTATGACGGTTATATGGAAAAGAGAAAGAGGGATAATACAGAATTGATTTATTTATTTTTATTCATTTTTCTTCAATTTCCTTTCCATTTTCCAATTTTCAGGATTTTTGTTATTCACAAAAAAAAATCCTATGGTAGTACTCCTCGGCTGAAAAGATGTTTTGTCTTTGTCGCTCTCATTTCAAATCGCACAAGTGCGATAAAGACAAAACATCTTATCGGTTACGGAGTGCTATCAACTAATCAAAAAATATAACTCTATAACGCTACGTAAAATGGAAATGTAATACAGGGTGTCCAAAATAATTTGAAATACATCAGGATTTTGAAAACCATTAAAGGGTGGGGCAAATGGGAAAAGAGTTGCGCAATGAAAAATTCCAATATTAATCTTTTTCTTAATCATTGAATCCTTTATGTCTTTGTTTTCTACTTTATTATGCCCAAGCTCTTGATTTACCAGACACAAACAGTCAAAATTTTTGTAATATTTTTGTTCCCATTTTATCTCTGTCTCTTTCTCACTCATTGAATTTTGCATACCATTTCTCTCTATTCCAACGAATGCTGATCAGATACAAGACCACTCAAGCGCCGGGAATAATCAAAATTAGTGTCACTTTTTCTCATCCTGATTTATATTTATCTCTTTCTTAATCATTAAATTCTTTATACGTTTTTCTCCTACTTTGTTATACCCAAGCTCTTCATTTGCTAGACACAAATAACCAAAATTTGTGTCAAAAATAAGTTCCCATTTTATCTCTGTCCTTTTCTTACCCATTAAATTTTGCATACCATTTCTCTCTATTCCAGGCACTTTCGATTGACCAGATACAAGACCACTCAAACTCTAGAAATAATCAAAATTTGTGTCACTTTTTTTATCCTGATTTATATCTATCTCTTTCTTAATCATTGAATCCCTAATGTCTTTGTTTCCTACCTTGATATACCCAAGTTCTTGATTTACCAGACACAAACAGTCAAAATTTATATAATATTTTTGTTCCCATTTTATCTCTCTCTCTTTGTTACCCATTGAATTTTGCATACCATTTCCCCCTATTTTAGACACTTGATTGGCCAAATGCACTTGTTTATATCCTACTTTATATTCATCTCTTTCTTAATCATTGAATCCTGTATACTTTTGTTTCCTTCTTTGTTATACCCAAGCTCTTGCTTTGTCAGATACAAATAACCAAAATTTGTATAATATTTTTAGTTCCGTTTTATCTCTGTCCCTTTCTTACCCATTAAATTTCGCATACCATTTCTCTCTATTCCAGGCACTTGATTGGCCAAATACAAAACTACTCAAACGCCGGGAATAATCAAAATTTGTGTCAATTTTTTTCCAACATTTGAAAATGTTTTCATTATTGCAAGGGCACGTAGTATGAGTACAGAATTCGAAACTGTTTCGTTCCAAAGAGAACTGCTCCGAACGGTTCGAACTGATCCAAACAGCTCGAAATTGCTCTGAAGGGTTGAACTGCTCCGATTGGTTCAAATTGCCCTGAAAGGTTTGAACTGCTACGAACAGTTTGAAATGTTGCGTTGCGAACAAAGCTACTTCGAACGGTTCAAACTACTCCGAACAGCTCAAAACTTCTTCGGGCGGTTCAAACTACTCCGAGTAGCTCAAAACTTCTAAGGACAGCTGAAAATGCTCCAAATAGTATAATAATGCTCCAAACGGTTCAAATTGCTCCGAACAGATCAAAACTTCTTCGGACGGTTCAAACTGCTTCGAATAACTCAAAACTTCTTCGTACACTTGAAACTGCTCCAAACAGTATGATAATACTCCGAACAGTTCACATTGCTCCGAACAGTTCGAACAGCTCCGCATTTGCTCCGTAGGGTTTGAACTACTCCGAACGGTTCAAATTGCTCCGAAAGGTTTGAACTGCTACGAACAGTCCGAAATGCTGCATTCCGAACAATGCTGCTCCAAACAGTTCCGAACAGCTCAAAACTTCTTCGAACGGTTCGAACTGCTCTGAATAGCTCAAAACTTCTTCGGACAGTTGAAAATGTTCCAAACAGTATGATAATGCTCCGAACATTTTGAATTGTTCCAAACAATTCGAGCCGCTCCGAACAGTTGCCAATTCTCAGTTTCATGTTTCATGGCATAGCGTGACGGTCAGTGGCGCGTAGCCAGGATTTTGTCTTGGGGGGGGGGGGGGGGGGGGGGGGCAAATTTGCAGGAAGTGTTCCTTGCGGCCCCACCGCGACCGCAGGCGCGAAATTTTTGGGTGCCACGCCCCTTTTTTAGGTTTCTTCGCGCTATTTTTGGGACTGTTTATTTTAATTTTGAAGAATTATTCATAAAATTTAAGGGTCTTGGGGGGGGCAAATGCCCCCTTGCCCCCCCCCCCCCTGGCTACGCCAGTGGTGACGGTGTTAGGCGTCATTCATTATTCAGAGGTCAGATTTTATATTGTTTTATACTTGTGACAACTTTGGGTTAGGTCTGAGCGGACTAGTTCAAACTCTTCGCAATATAGTTCTGTTTGAAGCAATTTGAATTGTTCGGAAAAGTTTGAATTTTTGGAAGAACTGTTCGAAGCAGTACAAACTGTTTGGAGTAGTTTGAACTGTTCAGAGCAGCTTTGTCTGTTCGGAACTGTTTGGAGCAGTTTATACTGTTTAGGTTATTTTGGTGGGATTCAAAAATTAATGTTTGAGTTATTTCAGTTATTTTATTGAACTCTACTTCAGGATTTTCTATGTCCTTTCCGGGTTGCATCTTTGTAAAAAACTGTGAATATTTTATCCTACTTTATATTTGTCTCTTTCTTAATCATTGAATTTTCTATACGTTTGTTTTGTCACTGACACAAATACCTAAAATGTGTGTAATATTTTTATGCCCATTTTATTTCTATCTCTTTCTTACTCATTGAATTTTGCATACCATTTCTATCTATTCCAGGCATTTGGTTGGTCAGATAATCAAAATTCGTGTTACTTTTTTATCCTATTCTATATTTATATCTTTCTTAATTATTGAATTCTCTATGTCTCCATCTCCGTCTTTGGTAAACCCAAGTTCTTGATTTGTCAGACACAAATAGACAAAACTTATGGAATATTTTTATTTCCATTTTATTTTTGTCTCTTTCTTATTCATTGAATTTTGCATACCCTTTTTTCTTTATTCCAGGTACTTGGTTGGTTAGATATAAGACCACTCAAGCACCGGGAATAATTAAAATTCTTGTCACTTGTTCTTATCCTATTTTATATTTGTCTCTTTCCTAATCATTGAATCCTTTATGTCGTTGTCTCCTACTTTGTTATACCCATGCCCTTGTTTTGTCACTGACAAAAATAGCTAAAATTTGTAATATTTTTGATCTTATTTTATTTCTGTCCCTTTCTTACTCATTGAATTTTGCATACCATTTCTTTCTATTCTAGACATTTGATTGGCCAGATACAAAACCACTGGAGCGCCGAGAATAATCAAAATTCGTGGTACTTGCATTTATCCTACTTTATATTTGTCTCTTTCCTAATTATTGAATCGTATATTTTTATATTCTAATTTGTCGTACCAAGTTTTCATTTGTCAGACACAAATAATAGCCAAAATTTGTGTACTATTTTTGTTCCCATATTATCTCTGTCCCTTTTTGAGCCATTGAATTTTACATAACATTTCTCTCTCTTCTAGGCTCTTGATTGGCCAGATAAAAGACCACTCAAGCACCAGGAATAATCAAAATTTCTGTCACTCTTTTCTTATTCAACTTTATATTTGTCTCTTTCTTAATTATTGAATTCTTTATGTCTCTGTCTCCTACTTTGTTATACTCAAGTTCTTGTTTTGTCACTAACACAAATAGCCAAAATTTGTGTAATATTTTTGTTCTTATTTTATTTCTGTCTCTTTTTTATTCATTGAATTTTGCATATCATTATTCTCTATTTCAGACACTTGATTGACCAGATACAAGATCATTCAAGCGCCGGGAATAATCAAAAATCGTGTCACTTTTCTTGATCTCATTTTATATTTGTCTCTTTTTCACTTATTGAATGCATGCATTTGTTTCCTACTTTGTTATACCCAAGTTCTTGATTTACCAGACACAAATAGTCAAAATGTATGTAATATTTTTGTTCCTATTTTATCTCTGTCCCTTTTTCACCCATTGAATTTTACATATTATTTTTCGCTATTTTAGACACTTGATTGGCCAGATACAAGACCACTCAAGCGCCGGGAATAATCAAAATTCGATCTTTTTTTTTTATCCTACTTTATGTATGTCTCTTTCTTAATCATTGAATCCTGTATACTTTTGTCTCTTTCTTTCTTATACCCAAGCTCTTGATTTGTCAGACAAAAATAGCCAAAATGTGTGTAATATTTGTGTTTCGATATTTTCTTTGTTCCTTTCTCAGCCATTAAATTTCTTATAGCATGTCTCTCTCTTCCTTGAAAATTTAATATTTATTCCTTAAATATAGAGTGGTGCGGGTATCCGGTTGTGAAACGTCAAGGCAGTGGCGCAGCCAGACATTTTCTCTAAGGGGGGCCATGCAGAGTAAATTATAGCAATACATAGACTCACTACCATCCGTAAAGCTTTTTATGACATGAGCAGTTTACAGCTTTCGTCCACTTCATTATTTTTCTATTTTTCTCTGAAACCTTGGGAGAGCTCCGGCCTTTTGCCCCCTTCCTGGCTGCGCCCATGCGTCAGAGGAAATTATTCCAGTGGCGTGTATATTTAATTGATTAACATAAGTGCCTAAATAATTAATATTTTCTATTAAATTTGCCGCTTAGACGTTATTGTGAGCAAAATACACAAAGTTTCAAATTGATTCAGAAAAATTGACAAAATGAGAAATTTTATTGTGAGGTGATATTTATACAGGATGTCCTCGAATAAACTGACACATTTTGCAGCTTTGCAGGTAGATAATTCGAAAACGAGAAAACATAACGTGAATTGGCAAAATGTGTCAGTTGTCAATTTATTCAAGCATACCCTGTAGGTATAAAAAAAATTAAAATAGTAAAGTAGGTACAAGAGCCTGGAATAGAAAAACTATGTTCATACTGATACTTGGTCATGTCATTCTGAATTGCTAGAAATTTTTAAGGTCTTTAAAATGCTATTAAAAAGTAAAACCATTTGCATACTCTTTTTGACAACTGACAGATAGACAATGCTTTGAACGTCATTTTTCAAAATGAAAATTGAAATCGCTATCGATTTGAACTGAAATTTTCACACTTATGTGACACAAATTCTTGACAAGCAATCTTTTTTATCCGTTTTGCACCTTAATCTGGACACTTCTAAAGTGCGTATATAAATAAATTCCTAAAAATTGTGCAAAATTTGCCTCTTTTCGGAAATTGTACCTCTCCTCTTCAGCAGTGTAACGAAGAGTCGAAGCAACGATTTTGGTACCAGTTTCGTCCGCGCTGTACGAACAATTTTCGTCACACACGGCACTGCTCGGCACCGACGTTGTCCTACAACGATATAACAACCCGACGGCAAAATTCATTCGATTGAATTATATAAAATTGAATTTGAATGGAATTCATCTAATAATGGCCTAGTTTTCAAATTCACCATTTGCTTATGCGCATTTCTCTTGATGAGTAACCTATCCTTGTTTTGCTGCTGTCAAATGACAAGAACAGCAATACATCGGTGAAAATGCGCATATGTCATTGATGATAGGAATGATATGATTTTAAACCGAAACGTGCCGATGATATAAAAGTGATAGTTGACTATAAATAAAACATAGAGACACAGACCTTTCGTCAATCATAATGCGTCTGAACGAATCCGAAGAGCTGAACACGCCCACCAGTGACGACGGTACTGGCGAGTCCTCGCTAGCCAATCACAGAGAAAAATCTACTGACTACATTGCTATTGCTAAATTTACTTTCTATTCTAATAGTAGTTGATTGGAAAATTAAGACTTACGTGGATTGTCTCATTAGATCGTGGAACGATCCGGCCGGGTGCCAGAGTTGGTTTGATCCGATTCGGATTCCTACGTCGTATTCGGTAGTTTCCTGAAATGAAGGAGGTTTTTTAAGAGTTTATTTATGCCCTACGCCAATGTGTTTTAGACTCCACCCACCAGGTACACAGAGTGGGTGGAGCCTAAAAGACATTGGCGTATATATATTTTTTCCTTTTAAAACATCTTAGCTACAGATAATCAGGCCTATGATATATCATGTTATTTTAACAGCCACGTTAAGTTATCTGTCACTGTTTATTCTATACGTCAAAATAGAGACAGAAAGAAATAGATGTTGAACCTTAACACAGTTGTTCCAAAATAGAAATAAATAAATTATATTGACTACGCCAATGTATTTTAGACTTTATCCCTATAAAACCTTCATCATAATAATAAATCCGTAAAAGACATGAGCGTAGATTTTTCTGTTTGAATATATTGCTGAATAATTGGATTTATTAGAAATATCAGTTACTTTTTGACTTTCAACCTGTAACTGTTAAATTATTATTATTTGTCAGTTGTCAATTTAATTATTGACTATGTGAACATCCAATTTTCAAATTGAACCTTGAGAGACCTGTAACTGTCAAATTAATAATTTTTATCACTTGTCATTTTTATAATTGACTTATTATAAGACATTACACTGTCAAATTCAACTTTGACATTCATGGGAATTTATCCATTTCAATAATAGATTTTTTATGAGAATAGTTAAATTTCAAACTTTTCTAATGGCCTTGATACACCTGTAAGTGTCAAAATATTATTACATATTTGAGAGTTGTATTATTGGCTTATGAGACATCAAACTTTGACTCTATTTGTGGGAATTTTTTCTAATAAGAAAATATATAGAAACCTTTGAAATTTTCTAATCAATCTTGAGAGATCTGTAACTGTCAAATTAATAATTTTTGTCATCTGTCATTTTTATAAGTAACGTATTATAGGAGACTTTCAGTGAGCATCAAATCTACCAATCGGGAACGCCATTAGTTACTATTTAACAGGTGTCAATTTCATTATTGACTTGGACATAAAACTGTTAGATTCAAATTTGTGAATTCAAATTCTTTCAGTGGTTACTATATTAAACACCTGCTGGTAGCTGTCAAAATATCCATTTCTGACAGTTGTCGATTGACTTTGACTACTTTACACACGCGAGTTATGATTAGAATTATAAAATAATTACTCACTTTAGGCAAAGGAAATGTTTTTAAATTAAGATTTAAAATTATCTACGCCAATGTGCTTCAAGTTCCGCCTGTGGGTGGAGCTTGAAAGGCATAGGTGTAGTTTTTTTTTTTCATTTTAACTGTCTTAGATGAAGATAAATATTCTCTCAATAACTGCAATTTTTTTAATGCACATGATTAAACCTACAAATGTCAAAATATTAGATAATTTTTGATAGATGTCAATGTTATTATTGATTCAGTAATCATAAAACTGTCAAATTCAACTTTGGAAATGTTCTTTTAAGTAGTTGTTTCGTTATGAAAATAGTAAAGCTTCAAATTCATTTAATGGTCTGTTAAATGCACCTGTAACTGTCAAAATATTACTTTTTGACAATTTTATTATTAACTTATGACTTCCACTTTCGACCAATTATGTTGACTACGACAATATATTTTGAACTCCGCCCCTATAAAACTTACATCATAAAATTTTTTAAAGTAGGAGGAGCCTAAAAGACATAGGCGTAGACTTTTTTGTGTGTTTGAATAAAAATTAATAAATTCTTCAAAAATATCAGTTACTCTTTGTTTTTTGACCTTAATTGCGTTAGATAAATATGAATTTATTCCAAGTAGAAAATCTTCGAGCTAATGGCGAAAATATCAGGGGCGCACAAATACTGGTAAAACCCTCTTCCGCCGACGATAACATCAAGAATACTGAAAATTAACTAGTGAAATGCTGCCACTGAACATTTTTTCGCCATTACCCAAGGGACTTGGCTTCCTTCGTAACCATCAAATCTCTCTTTCTGTTTTATTCTAATTGTTATTCACTTTACTCAAAGAATAAGAAAGTGTCAAAATTCAGCTTTAAAATTATCTACGCCAATGCGCTTCATGACATATTCATATTTACCCTTCCATAATGTAAATTTTTAAAGTGGGTGGAGCCTCAGAGACATGAGCGTAGATTTTTCTATTTGTTTTGATATTCATTTAATCGTCTCTTCAATACACCAGTAACTGTTAAAATATTAATTTTTGACAATTTTATTATTGACTTATTGGACATCAAACTGTCAAATTTAATTTTGACATTTTTTAGAAGTTAACCATTTTAATAGTTGCTGTAATGAAAATACAAAAGCTCCAAACTTTTAATGACCTTGATAGACCTGTAAATGTCAAAATAATAATGTCTGACAATTTTGATTTTTATCATTGACCCATGGGACATAAAACTGTCAAATCCAATTTTGACATTTGTTGCCCATTTCGGTACCTAGCTGATTTCTTATGAAAATATTTAGTAAAATTTGAAACTTTTTTAATGGCCTTGACACACCTGTAAATGTCAAAATATTATTATGTGACAGTTGCCAATTTTGTTTCTTCAACAAATTGGGAGATAAAAATAAACTCAGTGCGTATTAAATCTACTAATTGAAAACATCATTAATTACTATTTGACAGGTGTCAATTTAATTGTTAACTTATTGGACATGAGATTTAATTTTGAAAATAATCAATTCTAACTTTCTCAATGGTCACTTTTTAGGCACTTAGAACTGACATAATATTAATTTTTGACAGTTGTCAATTGACTTGTAGGTACTTCACACACACAAGTATGAGTAGATTTATGAAATAATTACTTGCTTTGGTGGATTTTATAGTTTTACCCAAAAAAAAATTATAAATTTAACTTCAAAATGATCTACGCCAATGCGTCTCCAGCTCCATGGCACATTCACCAATCCAAAATGTGGATTTTTGTTGTGGGTGGAGCCTAAAAGACATAGGCGTAGATTTTTTTTTTCGATTTTACTGCCTAGATAAGGATAAATATTCTCTCAATAACTGCGATTATTTTTAATGCACATGAAATTTATAACTGTCAAAATATCAGATAACTTTTGACAGGTGTCAATGTTATTATTGACTCATTATTCATTATCAAACTGTCAAATTCAATTTTGGAAATTTGTTCTTTTCAATAGTTGTTTTGTTATGAAAATGGAAAAGTTTTAAATTCATTTAATGGTATTTTTAATATATCTGTAACTGTCAAAATATTATTATTTGACAATTATCAGTTGTATTATTGGCTCATAAAACATCAAACTTTGACATAATTTGTGGTAATATTTCCTCAAGAAAATAGTGATCTTTGAATTTTATAAGTAACCTTGAGACATTTGTAACTGACAAAATATTAATTTTTGACAATTTGTCAATTTTATTATTGACTGATTGGACATCAAACTGTCAAATTCATTTTTGACATTCATGCCCTCTTAATAGTTGTTGTGTTATAAAAATAGAAAAGCTTCAAACTTTTTTAATGACCTTCATAACTTGTCAATGTCAAAATATTATTGTTTGACAGTTATCAATTGAGACATCAAACTTTCACATTATTTGTAGGAATTTATTCTCAAAAAAAAAAACCTTCAAATTCTGTCAGTAAACCTAAGACATTTGTAACTGTCAAAATATTATTATTTGACAGTTAGAAATTGTGTTATAAGACATCAAACTTTGATATTATTTATTGAAATATTTTATCAAGAAAATAGTGACCTTTAAATTTCATAAGTAACCTTAAGACACTTGTAACTGACAAAATATTAATTTTTGACAATTTGTCAATTTTATTATTGACTTATTGGATATCAAACTGTCAAATTTATCTTTGGCATTCGTGCCATCTCAATAGTTGCGATGTTATGCCAATAGAAATGCTTCAAACTTTTTCAATAACTTTGATACACCTGTCAATGTCAAGAAAATAGTTATCTTTATATTAATTTTTGACATTTTTTTTAAATTCATTATTGACCCTATGAACAGGAAACTGTCAAATTCAAATTTTATATAAGTGCAAAAAAAATGTATTGCTATCTGTTTCTTCAACAGGCTGAGTGAAAGAGATAGCAATAAACTAGGTGTGCATCAAATTTACCAATCGGAAAACCCGCCATTACTTACAATTTGACAGGTGTCAATTTTATTAGCGACAGGAGCTTTTCAATTCTAACTCTCTTAATGGTCACTTTTGGGCCACTTGGCAGATGTCAAAATAATGATTTATGACAGTTGTCAATTGACTTATACTTTACACACATGAGTTATAATTAGAATTATACAAGATTTACTCACTTTAAGTTTTTTCAGTATATAGTTTTACCCAACGAAAATGTTTTTAAATTTAATTTTAAAATTATCTACGCTAATGTGTTTTAAGCCCCGCCCCAATGACGCATTCAACCATTCACAATGTAGATTTTTGATTTGGGTGGAGTCTAAAAGCCATAGGCGTAGATTTTTTTCGATTTAACTGTCTTAGATAGGGATAAATAATATTCCCTCAATAACTGCGTTTATTTTTAATTCACAACTGTCAAAATATTAGATAATTTTTGACAGATGTCAATGTTATTATTGCCTGATTAATCATCAAACTGTGAAATTCTAATTTGCAAATTTGTCCTTTTCCATACATAGTTGTTTTGGTATGAAAATGGTAAACCTTCAAAATTTTTTAATGGCCTTGATACACCTGTAAATGTCAAAAAATCATTATTTGATAATACTAATTGTATTATTGGCTCATTAGACATTAAATTTTGACATTTTCAAGTGGGAATTTTTTCTTATGAAAATTTTGAAGTAATCTGAAGACACCTGTAACTGTTTTGCCATTTTCATTATTAACTTATTGGACATGAAACTGTCAACTTTGACATTTGTTGTTGATTTTGGTAACTGATTTCTTATGAAAATATTTAATAAAATTTCAAACTCTTTACATGTCCTTGATACACCTGTGAATGTCGAAATATTATTTTTTGACAACTTGAATACCTATTAATTTATTGGATATCAACTAATTATATTGACTACGCCAATGAACTCTAAACTCCACCTCTAACACATTTATTATAACAATTTTTAAAGTAGGTGGAGCTTAAAAGACATGGGCGTACTTTTTTTTTTTTGTATTTAAACTAATTGAACATAAAACTGTCAAATACAACTGTGAAGTTTGTAAAAATTTGTCTCTCTTTCAGTGGTCACTCTTAAGACAACTGTCAAAATATTAACTATTGTGACAGTTGTCATATGACCTATATACTTTATACACACAAATTATAAAATAATTACTCACTTTAAGCATTTTTTGAAATAGGTGGAGCCTAAAAGACAAAGGCGTAGATTTTTTTGTTTATATTTAAACAAACTGAATTTATTAAATATTAAACATAAAACTGTAAAATACAATTGTGACGTTTGTAGAAATTTGTCACTCTTTCAGTAGTCAGTGGTAACTCTTAGGGTCAGTATTATAAAGTCCGGTTGGCGGAAGGTTGAATTTCAACTAGCGGTTAAACTGAAATGTCCATAGGCAATTTCACCCCAGATTTTCATTTGCTGTATGAGCTGGGTTCTTCGGCTATTCAGCGCGGAGTTGGAGTGGAGCGAACAATGGAGTCACCTCTAATACGGTAAAAAGCAATACCCGAACCTTAACCCGAACGGCTGGAGCGCGAATGGAGTTACTCGGAGTGCACGGAGTGAGCAAGCCGAACTCAACTTTGATAGGCAAACGGTTAACCAATTGGTACGTGAGTGACGTAGCTTTACCATCCGAATTCAGTGGGTAGGGCGTTTGGTACATTTTGACTTTGACATGTTTATTTACACATGAGTCAAAAAGAGACAGAAAGCTACCAAACTTCCACTTCCCAGTCAGACCGCAGTATAGCATTTGACAGACCAAAGCGTCTACCAAAATGGTGATGACGGCATCATTCTCCCATCCGAAATTGATTGGTACCTGTTTGACAGGCCAAACTGGGGTACCAAACTAAATAGAAAAAATTGCACTAGCTCCGCACTGTGCTAGAACTACCAATCGGCAACGCCATTAAATTAAAATGGCCGACAAGAGGCACACAAACCCTTTGTTTGCTTGTCAAAGTCACATGTTTTGGATAGGTTGACTATTCAAGGTGCTGTCAAACTTAAATTAAAATGTCCGCCAGGAGGCACACAAACCCTTTGTTTGATTGTCAACTGCTTGTCAAAGTCACGTGTTTTGGATAGGTTTTATGGAAAGTTATAAATTGACTTAATATACCTTATACATATAAATTATAAAATAAATAAGTACTTACTTTAAGCATTTTCCGTTCTTTTCCGAGCGTTTTGAGCACATATCTGTAATCCCTGGAATATCTGTTTAGAAAATGCGTGATACTGATCATGCCGCTTTCCACAAAAGCCCAAATGAACACGATCCAGTGCACTGACTTTTGGAATAGAGTGTACTCTTCTGAAAAAGAAACAACAAACTGTACACTTTCTGGTAACAATCAAGTGATAAATATGTGTCGGAGATAAATTTCAATTTGTTTATTTGGATTTTGTAAAAATGTGTGTCTCGGAAAAGAGGCATTAAACAGGTGAATCCTTGAATTTTAATTAATTAATTGTTTTCTTACTTGGTTCTGTAAGTTCGCTGATGTCCTCATCTTTACTGGTACTGGGTTGAGGATCTTCTTTGATTGTGACACTTTTGGATGTTGGTTCTTCAACCTAAATAATAATTGTCTGTTTTAATAATACAAATATTTTATTGTAGAAATTACAAAGAAAGCAGTGCAGCGATGAAGAAAAATTAAGAATACATTTTAAGTTTATTTTTGAAAAATTATATAAACTACGCCAATGTGCGTCAAGGTCCGCCCATGTTTTTCAGCTTAAAAAACATAGGCGTAAATAATAAAATTATAAAGAAAGCAATGCAAAAGATATTAGACAAAATATTATACACAGAGTGTCTCATTTTGTGTGGGAAATTTTTAATTAAAGATGAGACACTCTGTATAACCAATGTTCGAACTGTTCGAAGTACAAAACAAGCAAAAAAATTACTACGACAGCGATTGGTTAGTGAACTCACTGTGGGTGGGGCTGGTAGCGGGGCGGACATAGTGGATCGCGCCGACTTTTTTCTGGACAGCGGGACGCTGGACCGGCGTTTCATGCTTTTGTGGCGCTCGCGCAAAACGGTCGCCACGTCGGTTTTAATTGCGGCGTTCAAAAACTACACAATCGTAATGTTAAAATTGATGATCACTTGAAGAGTGTCGATTCGTTAAAGTGTGTACTTGGTTTTGTGGAAATTGAAGGGAATTTTGATGTGTTGGTATAAAGAAAAAAAACTTAGGAAATTGTCTCAGAGACTTTTTGGGTTAATTTAGACATTTGGGACATATTCGAATATGTTTTGAACACTTCAAAAGCTATTTTGCACACTGTGAAGCTTATTTTCGGAAAATTCAAAAAATGCATGGGGGATCAAAACTGATGAAATCCAATACCAAATATCAAATAAAATTTTCACTTACTTCGCCCATTGTCGGCATATCGGAATTTTCATCGTCTTCCCTGGTTTCTTCTGGTAATAAGTCCAACTCGTCATCGTCCAAATCATCGAACATGTAATAGTCGCCAGACCGGATAGCTAACATGAAAAAATTATCAAATTCCAAAAATAAAATTTCATTTCTAGATGAGTTTGAATTCGAATGGAATAAAAATTAGTCATAGATATTATGTGGTAATAAATAAGTCCAAATAATAAAGAATGTAGGTCCAAAGATATGATTGGCCCCGTTTAGGATATTTTTTGAGTTTATTCCATTCGAAAAAACACTTCACCCTGTATCTATTTAAAGAGAACTTTCTGTTCAACAAAATATTTACATCTAAATAATTATTTACCTCAATAAATTAACTCTTGTTTCGTTTTTTGAGAATTAATTGATACAAACAATTTATATGTTGAAAATAAACAGAAAGTTTTCTATTAGCAAGTAGTGCGTCTCACGCTTTGTTACTGTTGGTTAGTGAGGTCGAGAATAGAGAAGGAAGAAAATCTTTTGTAACAATTTTGACTTGATAATTATACCAATAAAGCAGGTAAGTTTAACAATGAAAAATTATAATTTTTGTTCAGTTTTTAGCTCAATAAAATTTCAGGTGGATATAACAGGAAATGATACATCATAGGCCTAAATAACTCTCTGTTAATTAATAGGAGATGTTCTTCCTTTTAATAGGAAATAACAGTAAGGTCATGCTTTTAAGCGTCTAAATGTTTGAAGGAGCATTAATAGTGTTACATGCCATAACTAATCTAACTCAAGTGAGAATAAAATTTAAAAAAAAAATAAAATAAATTACAATAATCTGTGACTCCCTTTTCTCCTGACGTGAATGTCTATATTTGAAATTTCAAAATAAAAAAAAATTGCATTAAAAATCGTTTCTACCCTTACATTAAACAACGGAAATTCGATTTAATTATAAATATACATAGATGATTAATAATTTACCCTGCTTAAACGTTTTCGGCGCCCTTCTTCTATACATAGGCCTACTAACGGCCGAATCTATAATAAAAGAAAATTATAATAAAGCAAATAATAATTGTATTTACAATAATATATTATGCAACAAGTGTAGGTAATGAAAATAAATCTTTTTTGTAGCTGGAGTTTTAATTAATATTGGGAAATGAAGTATTTTCTTGGTGCGAAAAGGGTACTTTATCCCACATATATTTTCAGGTGATCACATTCAATGGTTTTCGTATTAACTTAAAGGCCAGTCTTTACGTTAAAAGGTAAAGTTAACATTAGGAATTATAATAATATTAGGGCCAAATTCTGGACTAAACGTCTGGTCGTTACCTAGCAGGTACTTTCTATGCACTAGGGAATAGAAAGTACCTGCTAGGTAACAACCAGACACTTACCAGTTGGTCTATAATTTGGCCCTTAACTGTATATTTTATTTACAATATAGATACTTAAACCTGAGCATATAACAAACAACGTCCTGATGAATTTACCTAGCTATTCAATTGCTGTGAATTCCAAAAAAACAGATACAACTTATTTGAAGAACTATCGAACCAGCAACGGTAGCAACCTCTTTCTCAAAGCCGTAACAGAAGGACAACCAAAGATGTTGATAGTTTAACTCCTCGAGTTGATAAATCTGAACACCTGTGAACAGGGTTTTGTTAGATTCGATGTCTTCAAGACGTATGCAGACGTTTTGAATGTCGTTGGTGGACATCTTCTAGGGGCATTTTTAGGTTTGTTCGCATAGAAACAACAAACCAGTTAGACTGAATTTCATTGGTTGAAACTAGTTTCCTGCAGTGGCGGCTCGTGACTATTTCAAGTGAGGAGGCTAATTACGGTATAAGATTTCATAAAGGAATTCCATTAAGATTTCAATTTCAAAATTCCATATTTTGTTTTTTTAACTTTACTAAAAGTCCTCAAAATTTTACCACTGAAATTCCACAAAATTTTCATAAAATTCTTTGGAATTTCATGTAATTTCTTGAAAATGTCTCGGAATTCACTAAAATTTTATAAGAATATCCACGTTCATAACCGAAAATTTCCCGAAAATCCAATGAAACTTCAAGGAATTTTCAAAATTTAATTTATTTTCATAATTCGGAATTTCACTGAAATTCTCTTTTAATAGCCAGGAATTTCTGGGAATATTAATGAAATTTCTTAAAAATTCATCGAAATATATTAAAATTTCATGTCATTACATGGGAATTTTTCAAAATATCACCAAAAGTCCATGTTTTTAGCTGGAAATTCCTCGGCATTACTAAAATTCAGTAAAAACTGAAATTTCATGTTGGGAATTTCATGTAATTGTTTAAAATTCCTCCATGTAATTCATTTAGGATTTTGGGTAATTCGATCGGAATTTCACTGAAATTTCAAGTAATTCGAGAGGAATTAAAATTTAATGTAAATTCTATGAAAATTTCACATCTTATTCCTTTTTCAGAATAACATAATTATTCTACCGAAATTCCATTAAATTGTGGAATTCTGAGATTTTAATAGATTTTTTGGGAATTGCAAAGAATATTTGAGAATTTTAAAGGAAATATTTTTCAGAAATGTCAATGATAACCTATAAATCGAAATTTGATAAAAACATATGGCAACGCTGCTCATGATACAACAAACGTCAAAAAATTGAAATATCAAAGTAGGCCTTGGTTTTTTTTGACAGTCGATATAAAATGGCGTCTTTTTGTTTCAAAGATTACGATCCGAAGAGCCAAAGTATTAAAATCAGTTGACAATAAACGGGTTCGTATAATTCCGACCCTTCAAGCTCGTATAACCTCGGACCTTCGGCCTCATGATTAAAATAACTTCGGCCTGTCGGGTTCGTATAACTCCGGCCCTTCGGGCTCTCATATAACTCCGGCCCTTCGGGCCGGGTTTTTTTTTTTAAATTCCGAACCCAAAGAGTGAGGATTTTATAAACATTCGTGCGTATTATGAGACAAAAACTCTTATATGTACTTATAGAAAATACCATGTTGCCAATAATTAAGTACATCAATTCTTTTCCAATTTTAATGAAAATCGACTATTGAAAATGGAGAAAAAAACAGTTTTGCAACGCAGCATTTCGACTTTGATATATAACGACATTTGACAAATTTGTCAAAATAGTGACAGCTGTCAAGACTGATCAAACAACGATTATAAGTTTGATTGTTTAACACCAAATTGATTTTTTTTTTTTGTCAATTGTCAATTAAACAACTGTCAAAAGTAATTTACAAACTAATGCAATGTTGCCAATAATTACATCAATTATTTTAATGTAAAAAAAATGTATTTCTATCTCTATTTTATACAAGCTGATAGAAAAGACACACAATAGAATTCGCTAAATAATTTAAATCAACTTGTAAAATGACAGGAAATAGTGCAAAGTATTTCGTTTTTAATCGTCAATGTCACTTGTCACATTTATTAGTACGACATATGACCAGATGTCAACTGTCAAAGTTATTGTTTATTATTGCCACTTTTGGCGTCACTATGTCACATGTAATTCAATGATAGATGTCACTCGATATCGTTAGAATTCACCTTAAAGTGTCTGTTATTCTTGACCTATTTCAGTATAAATGACTAATGACAATTTGCTCTGGAAGGCAAACATTAATTTATAACCAAAAAAAAAAATGACATTATTTTGGCATTTTTCGCTTTAAATTTGACAACAAAATGATTGGTTGCCCTCCAGCGTGACGTCATACCAAAATGGTCACTTATTCGTTTACTCGAATTGACGTCATTCGTTGGTTACAATTTAGACAGATGAACGATATGTCAAATGTCATTTTGTCATCTATTGCAACTGTCAAAGTTGTAATTTCAATCTCGAAATCAATCGCCTACTTTTCAATATTGGTGACCAGATGAACGATGGGTTAGATATAGATAAAATGTTGTACGTTACCTCAAAATATTACTTCTTCTGTATTACCGACCCAATGTTGTCAGTTCTTTTAGCAGTGCAAAAGTATTACAGAGTTCTGTATTACCGACCCCAATGTTATTAAAAGGCCTGCTTAATTAAGCAAGCGACGTTGCCGCATGATAGAAATAATCTCGAAAGATTTGAAAATATCATCATTTTAAATAGGATTTTGGTCCCAAAACTCTCACTGGCAATTGACGTTTGTTTAATCATTCCGCCTACAATATCGCTATCTCACTTGTTTGAGTTCACTGGCCAATCGAATAAAATGAAATGTCGTACGTCACGTGACAACAAGAGCCGGGAATAATCAAAATTTGCAAGTTTTGAATAAAATTTTGTACGCAACCTGTAATACCGACATCCATCCAAAGCCTACTTGATTCAATCATTGTTGACAATATCAACAACTATTTTTTTTTTGACAGTTGACAGGACTTAATGTGTCACTTTTCGGTAATTTATTGGTAAAGTTTGTCAACCGGTTGAATTTGTCATTTGTCAACTAATGATATAAATAAAACGGTTGACAAATGACGTTTGAATGAATCAATATTATATTGTTTTTGATTGGTAGAATTAGTGCAAAAGAAAATCTTGTTTCTTTTTAGCAGGATGAAAGAAAGAAATGGAAATACACTCGGTGAGCCAAAAAAATGTACCTACCAATCGGAAATGGTAGTATACGTTGACAATTGACAAATGACGTTTCGCATTCGAATATTTCGCCTATACTACCGGACAGTAAATTTCCCGCTTCAAATAATAGAATAAATGACGTTTGACACATGGTCCGTCTCTGTCAAACAAATAATTGTGACCAACCAATGTCGTCATCAATTGAAAGTGACAATTGCTATGTTATCGAACGGCATTTGACACATCTGGAATCTATGACGTCATCAAATTACGTGTCAAATTCAAGCAACGACATCGAAACAAAAAATAAGTAGACGATTAATTTCAAAATTGACATTAATAGTAGTTGCAGTGGGTGACAGATGACATTTGACGTCCAAAATAATAAACAAATAACGATCAATCAAAAACACATTTCTGACACATTAAATGTTAATTATGTGTCAACGTCAAATTTGACTCTTGATAGGTAGAAATATAATAAATTAACAATGACGTCGAATAATTAACACAGTAGGCCATCGATTAGAAAGAAATGTCAATCAGTTAAGGCCTCAAATCGTGTTTCGTCTCTGTCTGTTTGTATGCAACAAACAAGGACAAACGTACTTTTTTTTTTCTGGAAATTCATAGACTATTTTCAAGTGCCTAAAATCGATTAAAAAATTTATTTTTAAATATTACATAAAATTGCTGAAAATGACGTTATTTTAATTCAATATGGCGGCGTGGAAATAACACACCACGTTTACATTCAAATTGCAATCGATTTGAATTGAATGTAAAAGCACTAGTTTGTTATGCCCACGTCGTCATCTTGAATTATCAGCTTAATTGAAAACTATAAAATTCAAGAGCCGGGAATAGGAAAAAAAAATTGAATTTCCCGCTTCGAATAATAATATGACAAATGACATTTGACTCTGTCAAGCTTGAGCAAAAATACAAATATTGGGTAAATAATTATTGTGACATATTACTTTGGCAGTTGGCAGTTGTGTCATCGAATAACTTTTTTTTTGTTTTTTATCTCCAGTATATGACGTCACCAATTACTTTTCAAATTTAAATTTTTCCATTGATACGTCAAAAATATAATAAACAAACAATGACAAATCGAAACAAATATTAGACCATCAATCAAGATTGACATTTGTAATGAATGACAAATGACGTATGACATAAACTAATAAAAGTACCATCGAATTTGACGCTGGCAATGCCGAACGTCTTTTTTGACATATAGTTAAAAAAAAATTGGTACTTCTTACGAATTCTTCGAGGCTAAATCTATATGTCCATGTAGGTTTTTTTTAAATTTTGACAGCTGTCAATCTCAAAAAAAAAATTCTTTTGTTTTTTCCAAAAAACAAAGGTCGTTTTTTAGTGGGTTTTAGGGTGAGATTTATGTAACAACAGTTGG